ACTAGTTTACGGATACTTCAACTAATCTCTCAAGACTTTGAAACCGATCAGATTGATAAGAAAGGATTTGCAGTCTCTAGTCTCCCAACTTATCATTTCTTGTTTGCTTGTTTCTTTTTCGGGGTTACTATATGTCTTTTTTTTTTCATTATTATTTTTATACCTCTATCTGAAATCTCATGTTCCTTATAATTAATTTATTGTCTAAAATAAAATATTCATTCTCTATTTTGAAGTGAATCCATGTATGGGGCAAACCTCGGCCTCTTTGCTTTCAATTACAATTTAGGAAAATAAGTTTTTATAAACCTTAATATCACTGTCGACTCCGATGGTTGTCTCCCAATTCCATTATCTAGAAGTACATATTCACCATTAATGTTTAGCATAACTACTAATTAATTTCCTTGACAGTATTGAAATTTCATGTCATTTCTAGAAATGTATTTGGCATTGCCGTATTTCCACTTCAAATCTAGCACAAAATCTAATCTCATTAAAATTGAGATACCAAGAAATCTCGTTTAAAGAATCAAACATTAATTATGTGACTCGTTTAAGTTAACTATATATATAAAACCTCTTTTATCTCATTCTAATTCTATTTTCCTTTCTTTGGCTGAACTGAAGAATAGACGTTAATTAACTATGAACAGGGAGATTAACATTGGAGGAGTGAACCCTAATGCCTGTGCGGCCTGTAAACATCAGAGGAAGAAGTGCGATGGGAGCTGTGAATTGGCTCCTTATTTTCCGGCAAGCCGGTATGGAGAGTTTCAACATGCGCAGAAACTTTTCGGTATAAGCAACATTCAGAAAATCATTAATTCGGTTGAGCCAAATCAAAGACATGCAGCTGCCGAGTCAATTCTCATGGAGGGCAATATCAGGCATAATGATCCGGTGCATGGCTGTGTAGGTGTCGTCCGCAAACTTCAGTCTCAGATTGATTTATATCAGAGTCAACTTAATGCTCTTAATCAACAACTGAATTTCTTTCGTGAAAGAGAGAAACAAAAGCTGTTTGAACACTTTACAAAGTGTTCATCGTCATCGTCATTATTAACACCACAGCAGATTCAGAACGATTTTGATGCTTTCAATTTGCAGCCTCCAACCCCGCCTGCTCATCTTGTAATTAAACTGCATTCAATCTCAGATTACTTACTTTTCATTTTGCTTTTATCATATTTATATATAATTTCTTTTAATAAATTAACCTATCTGTTTCTAATTTTTTTTTGGTTGTTTCGTACAATTTAGCCAGCTAGTATCTACAATTACCAGTCAACTATGGAAGAAGGTGAAGATGTCAAACCTTTCGACCTGCAAGGCATTGATCTCACCATGGAGTACCCATATCAAAATGAGCAAGCTCTTACTGGTTTTGATGAACCTGGAAACCCTAAGTATTTCTAATTCATTATTTTTTTTCTGTAATTGATTTCCTCTACCTTAAGCTATAAAAATGCAATAACTCGTGTGCCTGTACATGATTACACATGCAGAGATAAAGGAAAGCAACCTCTCTGGAGGCAGATGAAGAATAAGGACGATTAATTAAAGAAGCCGATTCCACAAACAAATTGTAATCAAATTATAAAACTATAAGGAAGCTTCATGATCAGTGTCTCGTGCGTTTCAACATAATTTAGATGGATGCGCCAGCTTTGATATTATAGTTTTTATTAATAGCAATATAATTATGTTTTTTTTTTTTTTTTTTCTTTCTTGAATGATGCATGCAATAGCTTTAATTTATTTGTGTTTATAGCTGTGCAATTAGTGAGTTAAGGAATCCTCGTTATCTCAATGATATATGAGAAAAAACTTTTGTTTGATGTGTTTGGTTTTAATTTGTTAATAAATTTACAATCATGCTCATTCATTAAATTGTTTTTAAATATATAATTTGTAAGTTTAAATTAATTTGAAAGGATATAAGAGATTCGATTCAAGATCTTTCCTTTCTACACCTTTAAATTATAAATATTTCCAATTAAAGAGATCTGTATCCAAAATCAAGAACAGAAGTTATATTAATTTTAGTATTTCTTTTAGCAACATCACTAAATCTCTTGAAAATGCGAAAAAAAAAAAAAAAAAAATTGAGGCTCTAGAAACAGTTCATGTACTAAGCCCAGACGGGGGCCCAAAATTTAAACCTTAAAACATGTCTGAGCCCGGGTTCGAACCGGGGACCTCTAGTGTGTGAGACTAGCGTGATAACCAACTACACCACCCAGACGTCCGCTTAACTTCGTGGATTTTTTATATACGAATGTATGAAAGAGTATGGGTTACTAGACCTCACAAAAAAAGTTGATTATGGAGTTTCTGCATGAGGAAACCATGATAGCCAACCTAAGTGAAACCAATCAATACAACGATCAGTCGAAATTATGGTCAAGGTCCTCCTCTTATCCCACACACACTTACATCCATACATCTTCTAACATCATCTAAAAGGGTTAGTGAAAATTAAACACATCAAGAACATATATATTAAACATATCAAGAGCATAAATAAATGGCATATATGTGATCTTTAGCTACTCTTACCATTATCAGAATATTACAACACCCTTGATGTTGAGGGAAGGTTTAAAAGTATGAAGGAAACATGGAAGGAATATGTGCAAATAAAATATGCAAGGGAGAAATGTGAGAGATTTTTTTGGTAAGAGAACAATGTAAGATCAAGAGAAATATACAAGAGATTTTTTTTCTTCTCCAACGGGAAGGTAAGAGCCTTTGTTTATAGAGAAGTCTAATACATTACATTCAAGACACATTAAAGAGACATTTAATACATAGTTTGACATAATTGAAATTTTTTTTTTTTTTTTTTTTTTGACTTTTACATTTCATACGAAGATATTACACTGAGTTGACAAATTATCATTTAGTCCACGTCTATTTTACATATAACATAAAGGACACAAATATTTATTTTAAAACACGCAGAGCTTTAATCATCTGACAGGTTTGTAACATGCTATGAGTCTTTATCCTGGAAATCGAGATAGCCCATTGATTGAATCCAATCAGCATAGATTTGTCGAGAAGATATATTTGGATGAGTATCCGAATAAATGTCTAGAGATTGAGATGTCTGCTTTGCAGAGGTACTTGGTGCATGCATGTACTGTTGTCGCTTGGATTTATGAAGATAGTAATTACGAGACTGTTGAAGCTCTTCTTCCTGCACAGTATCTGGCTAAGAGTCTAGGTACCACCATTCTGGATAATCTGAAGTGGCATTTAATTGAGCAATGAAGGAATGTATGAATGTTTGTTTCGCTTGGAGTAATTTCTCAGTGTAGTCTAGAAGAAAGAGTTCCCACGGAGCATCATCGCGAAAAGATGACCATATCTCACTACAAGAAAAAATACTTTTTCCAACCAATTTTTTTGCAACTAGGCAAAAATAGTTGCAGATACCCCACATTTAATAACTAAATTCCAATTAGTCGGCCAAAGGGAATAAAATTCTAGGGCCCATTTATTCTCGCCTTTGGCGTATAAAATTAATATTTTGCGACTAATTTGATTTGTTGTCCAAATATCACATCAGCGACTAATTTATCTGGTTGTCAATTCTTGCGCGAACACAATTGGCAACTACAACAAGGGATTCTGCAACTAAAATTATGGTTACAGAAAACAATTATTTGCAACTATTGAATAGTTGCTATATTATATGCAAATATTTATTAATTAATTTGTAACTATTTTTATTAGTTACAAAATAGTACAATTACTGAAATATCCAAGCTTCTGACAATAATTACAAAGGGCCTGTGGTATAATTGGCAACTAATTATTTTGTGCATATTACAAATAGTTGCAAAAACTCATATATAGCAACTAAAAATGTATCTAGTAGCTAAAAGTTGATGAATTTTTTTGGCTCCAACTTTCCCGGTAAAATGAAAAAATATTATTTTAATTTGTGACTAAAATTATTGTTGCGTAACTAATTAGTTAGTTGCAAATTATCTTCTTTTGGCAATTAAGATTTTAGTTGTCAAATGTATGGTGAATTTTGAGATCCCCATGTTCCCGCTTGAAATAAATTGAAATTTTGGATACATTATTTTAGCATCTAAAGTTGTAGTTGTTAATAGGATTTTTTTTTGCAACCAAAATATTGGCCACTAAATATTGTTTATTAAAAATAATATATACTACCAGTAACCAAAATCAATTTTATTGTTTGATTCCACTTTTGCCCCCTACATTACCCCATTGAAGGTAACTTTTTTTTATTTTTTTTTTATTTTTATGTCAAAGCTCATTCTTTTACTGATGGTATTTCAATTTTATTGTTTGATTTTCAATTCATTTCTTCACAACATTTGTTTTAATTTGTTTAAGCATGTGTTGTTAGTGACATTCTTAAATGGGTGGCTTTAACTTCGTAATGGATGCTTTAAATTCGTTTATTATTACTAATAAACAAATAGTGTTTGATTACTGATAGATTCTCTGCCTCTTTCAAGGCTTGTTCTTGTATGTTCTCTTCTTCTTTGTCAGTTAATTTATTTTCCTACACTATAACAAAAATGGCTAACGGTAACACTAGACAGTACCATTTTTCCTTAAAGTGTTACTGTAGACTATCTATGATAACACTTGATGTTAAAATGTTACGATAACAATTTTTATATGTAAGACTTTAACTTTTTGTAACACATTTTATATCAATGATAACTCTTTTTTACAAAATATTACTTTTAAAATGTTACAATAGACCTGATAATATAGTAACTTTTTTATAATGTTACCATATAATAAAAATATAGTAATATTTTATAAGTGATACCATAAACCCAACTATTTACTCGGAAACAAAATATTATTTCCCACCAACATGAAATAAGATTGATTTTGTGTCATTTTTATTGTTTAGGGGTCAAATTGACATTATTTGGGGTTTACTTTGTCATTTTCATTAAGGAAAAACCGGGTCAAAAATGTTGGAAAGGTAAAAACCCAAAACTTATTCGCTAACTCATCTCATTCTCTTCTTTGTTCGTCCTCTTCTCACTGACGGCGCAGACTTCTTCATTCTTGAACTTGAATCTTCGTTCTTCGATCTCTTTAGTCTTTTCTTCAATCCTCTTTCATCTTCGACCGATTGATCATCGTGGACCTTTGTTGTTTGACTTCGAGCCTCTTTGAATCTTTCATCTTCGACCAATAGATCATCGTCAACATTCGTTCATCTTCCAATCGTCGATCATCTTTGATTTCAGCGACTGTAACTAGTAAGTTTTTGTAGAGTACATAATTTCCCATTCACGTGTTCATTATTTTTCAAAATAACCTAAATACTCTGTCTTTGTGGGTGATTTTAAGAATTAAAATCAGTTTGCTACTTGGTTGAAACTTGAAATTGATAAAGCCAACGACTTCCTTCAGAACATTTTCATTTTAATAATGAGTTCAAGAGAAAAAAAATACTATGCCTAACTTTTTGTTATACATATTAAGATCAGGAATTTTTACATGTTACTAGTTTTTAACTAATTTGTCTCTCATTGAACAGAGGTTGTATGGTTTTGTCATATGCTTATCATAAGGTTTATTTTGTACACTACTGGTGAGTACTTCGTTTAAATTATCACAATTTTTTTGTGGCTTTTATTGTTATTACTCTTTTCACTGGTATCTTTCTTCATATCCCAGTCAATGCTTATTTTCCTTAATCCAATCAAGTTCGGGATTACATTCACATTTGGGAATTTACTTTCACTTGGGAGGTTTGTATTTTATTTTTTTATATGTTGGGGTGTGGTAATTTATTTAATATTTAGAAATATAGCTCAGCATTATTGTTGTTTGTTGGATTTTTAGCTTATATTCTCCATGGTGGTTTAACGAACTGAATATTGAAGTCTCGTATGTGTAGGTGTGAATGTGTAAGTTTATGGTCATTAGGAGTAGAGTATATACAGAAGTGCGTGAGATTTTTATACTTTTTTCATAGTTTACATTGTAGATGGTTGTTCAAAATCTTTTGATTTTGTCATTGATGAAGTGGTCAATTCCCACTGTACTCTAGGTGTTTTGCTTTGTTTTATTTTTTAAGCCTGGGGTTTTGGAGGTAGGGATGTTAGGATCTAGTGATAGTTATATTATTTGGTTGAGATATCACCCAACCATCTCCACTTTGCGTCTTCAAAAATATTTATAATTAGATGAAGGAAAAAGGAAAACAAAAGGATATCTTGATTTCTGCATCATTGCAGTTTAAATTTCTCCATGATCTCCTTAGTGAATGTTGGAACTGAGCATCATATTGCTGCTACCTTATTGTGGCTTGGGTTGATTAAAAAACATTTGGTAGTTTGAAATTTTAATATATGCATTTTTCTTTGGAAGCAATAACCTTAGGTGATGCATTTAATGCGATCTTTCTTTGATTGCAGGTTCATAACAAACTATAGACACTTATAGCAATCATTTTAGAGTTTGGTGCACTAATTTGGTATGTTGAACGACTTACATACTCTTCCATTATGAATATATCTTCTATTTAATCTCACTCACACCACATTGGAGTTTGAACCTTCAAGGATTAAAATGATCGTCTTCAAGCAAGAGAGCTATATGTAAGTTGATCATCTTTCAATTATCGATATAAAATCTCTTTTGATATATGTTATGTGTTGTGATCAGGAGTAGTGAAAAGGAGTAGCTTTTCTTGCATACGTATACTATGGTGAGATGGTGCACATGGGGTGGACATTTTTTTGTTAGTTATGCACATGTGATAGTGCATTTTGGATTTTTATTGCTCATCATGCATAAAAATCCATGTATGGACTATATATATAAATATATATATGTATGAAAATATGACATTTGATGTTTGTGATCAGATTTTTATATTGTGTTAATTATTTTGTTGATGTTGAATGTATAAACTAGGTCAATACGAAATGCTCTAAAAAAAAAACACATTCTTGCAACTAGTTTTTTAGTAGCAAAAAGTAATTTAGCATAATTGCATTCTGCAGAAGGTCAATTCGAAATGCTCTAAAAAAAACACATTCTGCAACAAATGTTTTAGTAGCAAAAAGTAATTTAGCATAATTGCTTCCACATTTAGCGTCTAAAGTGATTAAAATTAACCATCAAATTTTGGTCACCAAAAGATACATTCGGCCACTAATAAAATAGTCGTGAAAACCTATTGGATTCCACATTCAACGTCTAAAATAACTATAATTAACTACTAAATTTTGGTCACCAAAAGATACATTCGGCCACTAATAAAATAGTCGTCAAAATCGTTTGGATTCTACATTCAGCGTCTAAAAGTATTACAATTAGCCACTAAATTTTGGTCATCAAAAGATACATTTGTTGACTAATAAAATAGTTGCAAAAACTTTTTAAGAAATTACCCTTACACCTTTGGTGTCTAATTTTTATGGGATTCGCAACAAATTATTAGACACTAAAACGTACATTTTGCAACTAATTGATTAGTCGTTATATAATTTTACCAAATTACCCTTGAACTTTTAGCGTCTAAGTTAGGGGACTATTTTGACCAGCATTTAGCGACTATTTTGCTAGTCGCAAAAAAAAAAATTTCCGCGTCTAAACAAAAATTTAGACGCGTTATGAATCTGCGACAACGATACTGCAACTAAGGAGCGACTACCAAAATTAGACGCGAAAAATGGCTTAGCGTCTAAATGTGACTTTCCATGTCTAATTTTGCTAGACGCAGAATGCCAGTTTTCTTATAGTGTCTCATTGGGAATTGTCTGATTTTTCTCAAAAATGATTTTTTGAATTGACCTAATCTCAACAAGATGGTCAAACATATTATGGACGAGATCATATGGATAAGATCAATGAAATGTGACTTGATGTTGTAAAAAATATAGGTCATCGGATCTGATGGAATGATGTCTGTGGAAAAGTATGATAGACCATGCCATTTTGGTGGACATAGGACCTCTGTATCGGGCAAGTTGACAGGGAAACATAGATTTCCATTGTTCTAGGGATTTGAACCATTTGAGAAAAGTCATCACAGAGTGTAACTTAGAGGTTGAGGATGATTGGTATTGGGAAATTATTTTCAACTTATGATAGAGCGGGAATTTAATTGCAATGCGATACTGGTGTAACATATACCAAAAGAACCATAATAATTATTTTGGAATATGATATCTAGACCCGAAGGTAAACAAAAGATTTTTGAAAAGGGATAATCTAGATGGACATGTAACATATCATACACGGATTGTCCACATTTTTCAATGCATTGAATCTGATAAGAAAACATGAGGGTAACGACATTTTCATCAATGGTACGAGTCCGAACAAGGTCATCAAATTCAGGAGGTGCGTCTGGAATATAGTTTGGTAAAGAAGAGGATGAATAGCTACTGGACTGGGTTAATGATTGGAACATGAAACAGGGAAGTGGTTTAGACCTAGGGTTCATGAAACTGACTTGTTTAGTTTTAGGTCTGTATAAATAATCTGCAATGTCGTTGGTGTGATCTTTGATGTGCTAGACGATGAAGGAATATTTGCTGAACCATTCTGCCAATTGAAGTAATTGTTGATGCGGAACATTTTTCTTGTTGAATTGGAGCATTTGATCAAAAGACTTCATATCTGTTTCAACAAAGAAGTGATGTCCAACAAGATGGAATTCAAACCTTTCAATGACATTTTTTACTGCTAATACTTCCTTGAAAGTAGAATGATAATGTTGTTGATGTGGTTTGAATTGTCCACTCTGGTATCCACACAAATGTTGTACTTTGTCATCATCTTGTTCAAAAAGCACTACACCCCAATGAGTGTCACTAGCATCCATCTAAAGAATTCGTTTCCTAGAAGAGGAAATCTTCAAGGGCTGTGTATGGAAGGATTTGCGTTTAAGACTCTTGACTACATTGGTTTGCTTTTCAGACCAAGAAAGAGGATTCTTCTTAAGCATCTGGGAAAGTGGAGAAGTGAATTGAGAAATGTTGGGAATGAAACTGCACATATAATTGGCAATTCCCAAAAATTGTTGTATTTCTTTCTTGGTTGTAAGAGCATCTGGGAATTTCTGCAACTCATTAGCAATATGAGGCTAGAGGTCATACTTGCCATCATCAATAACCATACCAAGAAAATCAATCTTTGTCTGCCCTATCTGAATTTTTTTCTCAGAGAACATAATACCATAAGAGTGTATGATATCAGCAAATTCACGAAGAAGACGTACATGAGATTCTTCATCTTTTGATAAGAGAAGAATATCATCGATATAAATGAGACATGTATGGAGAAGGGGAGCAAAAGTCTTCATCATGGCTTTCTAAAACAGGGAATGGGCGACCTTAAGACCAAAATGCATAACCATCCATTGATAATGTTGGTTGGGAATGTAGAAAGCAGTCTTATGATGATCATTAAGATGAATTCCAAGTTGCCAGAATCCAGCTTTAAGATCAAATTTGGAAAACATCTTTGCATTATAGAGATTTGCAAAGAGAACTTGTCTGCAAGATAGAGGAAACTTATCATCACGGAGAAAGAAATTCAATGGCTGATAATTGATAACAAGTCTGAGTTTTCCTCTGGCTTGTTCAGCACGTTTATTGACATAAAAGGCTTCGCATGCCCATTGGGAATCCATGGGTTGAATCAATCCATGAGATAAAAGCTGAGTACATTCTTGTTGAGCTAAGTTGAGATGTTTTGGTGACATGCCAGAATGACTGGCTTTAGTGGGATTGATATCTTCGCTCTTGATGAATGGAAGATGGATGAAGAAATCAGAATTCTTCCATAATGGATGAGTGCATTTAGTGAGAAAATCTGCACAAGAGTGGGAAATAAGCTGGGCTGTGATCTGCTCAATCGGATTGCCTTCAATCTGGAATAAGTTAGGATAAGTGGTCCAGGATTAAAAAAACATCTTGTACCGAATACCATCAGGGAGGACTTTAAGTTTATTAAGTTTGTAATAAACATCTAAACCTAGAACCATATCTTTGCCAGATAAATCAGAACCAAGAACTTTGTGAAAAGTAAAACATTTGGAAAAAAATTGGATTTTACAGGGTTTACTGATCAGATGAGTAGTGAAAGTGTCACTATTAGCAGTGTAGAATACTTCTTGATGAGGTTTCCACTAAGAGGATTTGAGGATTTTAAGGTTAATAATAGTACGAGTAGCACCAATATCAAAAAATGTTATGACTAAAATGGGATTGCAATATTTAGTAGGGAAGATCTAAACCTTTATTGTGAGTACGTGACATGAGAAGGCTAATGATGGAAGGGATTGTGGTATTTGTTGAATATGGTAGAAATAGCGACAATCATCTGAATCCGAGAACTCAGTATCAGTGGCTGCAAACTGAAAAACAGTGTCTAAAGTAGGTTCTTCATCCATTGAAAACCAGCTCTTGACATTATCATCAGAAAAATCTATATCAGTGAGCTGAGAAAGCTGCTGCATCATTTTAGCTAACTGTTTGGGCTTGTTTGGATAATTTTTAGCAAAATGGCCAGGGCAGTTGACAAGTAACACCGATTAGATCGTTTTCCTCGGCGTTTCTTTTTTCAAAGGAACTTGCAATACTTGAAACGTCAGAAGTTGCACCTGGTGGGAGCATTAGGTAGAGAAAACAATTTGCGTCTGGAATGAAAATTTTTCTTGGTAGGACAAGAACATGAGCGATTTGATTTGCATTTGATCCGTAATTCTGGTCTCTGACAAACCTTTGTCAGTTGCTTAGAACGCTTCAGATAATCATCAAAAAAATTGCTTTTGAGAACAGAGCTTTTCCAGAGCAAGAATGACAAACTGATAAATTTCTCCAAGAGAAGTAGAACCAAATTGTTTACTTTGAGACTGCATAACCTTGGTGGTTTCATGACTTAGGGATTCAGGAAAAGAAGCTAAAAAGGCTTGCTTCATGTTAGGATCCTCCATACCCCTAAGTATATGATATTGTTTTACCATCTATTTATAATGTCGATCAAAATCTTTCTTTTTTAGAGAATAGCATCGCATCTTAAAATATTCTTCTCTGACCTGGTCCTCATAAAGGTGAGGTAATCCACAAAATACATCATAGAGGAGATACAGAGCTTAATTAATATCTGGCATTTGAATGAACAAATTTTGTCTGTACTCCTGAAGACTGATCCACTAATCATGGAGAATTCCACCAAATTTAGCTATAAACTGTGTAAGTATCGTAGAGACCTAGGCATTAGATTTAAGCATCTCAGCTTGTAACCAAGCTTAAAACTCATACATCCTATTTCTCCATTTGTGTGGAGGAAGATCATCAATAGTAAAAGTGTGAAGCTTGGCTGAAGTTGTATAAGAGTCACGCTCAGCCGTAGTATGACGGGATTGGCAATACATAGGCTGAGAGTTTGGAATGGAATCATCACCTTCAGGCATCTCATCATCAACTTCAGAGACAACAGGCGATCTTGAAGATTCAGGTTGATGGGTCATCAATTGGAGATAAACATTATGATGTTGATCAAAAGTATCATTTTCAGAATCAAAGCCACTATCAAATGATTCACTAGTAGAAGGCATATCAGCCTTTGATTCTGTTTGGAAGGAAGATAGAGAATCTTGAGAGATACCCGAAGCTGCGAGACGTTGCCTTTCTGTTATATCTCTCAAAAAAGAACTCATAAAATTGGAAGAGACTGAATTTTTTTAAGAGACAGGATTAGCAGAAATTTGGCGATCTTTCATCATCATCATTTGCATTGGAGCCATATCTTTAGATAAAGGATGAAGAGATTTAGGAGATGGAGGATCTGAATGACTGGAAGAGAAAGAGTCAGGTA